GGAATATGAGCTTAAAGCAGAACCTTACAGCCAGGAGGAGGCTTAAAGTACTATTTACATAGTACTTGTTGTTTTTATATAATACTGTGACCCTGAGTACAACAGCTCTGAACCCTGCTTTATCCTGACCCATACACTGTTGTTCTTATTGTTAGGTGCCATTGAGTCAGTCAAACACCAATCCTAGTGACCCTATGAACAATAGAACATGGTTAGAGTTTCATAATGCAATACATAGGTTTACTATGATATAACACCTAATAAAAATCAGTCTCAAATAACAAACCCAAATCCGTAAGAACTACTGATAGGCAAACAACCTCAGCTCTCTATCTACAGTTCTAAATGGATGGGTATGCTTGCCATACTGTACTGTCCATACACAGGGAGCTCTGGTGGCCTACTGGCAAAAAGCTGTGCGGCAATCCAGAAGGCATGTGGTTTGAGGCCACCAGCTGCTTTGCTCGAGAAGGATGGGCATTCTCTCCCATATGATTAACTCCCTCTGAAAACCTACCAGAGGGTCAGCCATAGCTGATTGGTTTTGACTCTATGGTACACAACAACAGCAACTGTCCATCATTTAAGGAAGAGACATTGTGCTATTGAAAAAATCGCTCGGGACTGCAGAGAATATTTGAAAAATGACTCATCATTAGGATTTCTCTCAGCTTGAGAAATGATGAGTGAGTTCTTCCCTTTTTATTTTATGAATCCAGCTCTTTGCTCACAGAAAACCAGTTTTATTTTTAAACTTTTTTTGTTTTTAAATTTTATTCTGATTTATTTACAAAGTTTGAATGCATTGTTTTTCACAAAGGATTCTTCCCATTTCCTTCACTCCATCCACCCATTGAACTGTGCAACCCTATGATTAACACCCTTCCTTCACCTCATCCTCACTCTTCTGTTTCCACCCTCCCCCCACCTCTTATCTTCATATTTATTCTATAATAATGGTTTTATACAGTATTTGTCATTGTGGGACTTAGTTCACTCAGCATAATGCTCTCCGGCCCCTCCCAAGTTAGGTAGTAATTTACAAAATCATGGACTGAGAAGTTGTGGAACATTCTATGCAACATGCAGAAAACTGCAAGTTTTAAAGATGGCATCTGGGCTTGTCCGGTTCAAAATGCAGGATGTGACAATGCAGTGTCTGCTAATCATCCGCACTGTTTTAGATTCCAAAGCACAACCTAGTCTGTTTCAAAAGTTCCTCAAATACAGTTCAATAGGAAAACAAAAATACTGTTTATAGTAAGAATTAATTTGGAGACACAGGGAATTTTTATACATTGTTGGTTTGTGAATAAGTTGGTCTTTATATTTTAGAGGATAAATTAACAGTATCTGTCTAAATTAATGGTGTATGCATTTCTCAGTCCAGAAATTGATTTCAGTAATTTGTTTTACAGAAATAATTGCATATGAGCATGTGTGTGTGTGTGTGTGTATCTCCAAGGATAAACAAATATGTTCGGTATGTTCAATACTAATCATAACCGTGCAAATTCTAAAAATCTTAAATGTTGGTCAGTAAGGTAATAAAGAAATAGCTCTATATATAATACCTTGAACACTATAGGGAAAGGTAACCTAAATTTAAAGATGCATTAAAATAGGGAATGAAATAATTTGTACTTTTTAAAAAACTCTGTGTACGTGGGCATGTGTTCAAATGCATAGGAAACCATCTGAATTAGTATTTACTAAACTCCTATCAAAGATTCCCCCTGGGGAGGTTGTAGATTGCTGAAACAGAGTGACTGGCAGGTGGTACAGGGAATTCGTAGTTATTTGATTTTTTTCCCTCTAGATTAACTCTGTATTGTTCAAATTGTTATTAATTTTACTATTTTAAGAGCAAAACAGAACTTTTCTCACTTAAGAGACAGGAAAATCTAAAGCTCTGAGTATATTTTTAAACTTTATAATTATTAGTATTAATTTTAATGAAAATTTACAGAGATTTTTAATTTCCATTCATTCATTGTTGCACTTTTCTCCCTGCCCACCCCTCCCTTCGAGTCCGTTCTTCTCTTCAAAAAGTAAAAGAAAAATTCTTTCATTGTTATACCCCTCCTTCCAAGTCCACTTCGCTATACAGCCTTTGTTCTGGACTCATGTCATGACAATAATACCTAATTGTATATACCTTTTAAACAGTTCTTTCTCTCATCTGTTTCAATGGAGTATGCATAATTTATCCCATCTTTCTTAGTCTGTGCGCCAATCCCTATGTCAATCTCATTTTACAACAGTGGCCCTATGCAGTATTTGTCCTTTTGTGACTGAGATATCTCACTCAGCATAATGTCCTGAATATTTTAAGGGTTCATACTCAGAACCATAATATCAAAATTTTCTGTGAAGGCTTTGATCAGAACCTACAGAAATTTAAACTAACATTTGACTTTTAAATGTCATATTCATAACATTTATCTAAACCATTTAAAATAACAAATATGGTATTTTAAAAAATTTTAGATTTAAAAACAGATCATTAGAAAACTAAAGCTTTCAAATATTTTAATTAAGGAAAACATAAGCATGTATTTTAACTGCATTGTAGTGTTCACTATGATGATGATTTATTTTCAAAATTATGAGCTTTCCTAATATTGTTATACTGTGAGACTATTATAAGGAGCCTTGAGTAGGCATGAGTTGGCATTTAGATGCTGACTGAAAGGTCAATACCACCCTGTGCTCTGCAAAAAAGAGATGTGATGATCTGTCCCCATAAACATTACAGAGTTGGAAACCCTGTAGAACAATTCTACTATGTCATATAAGGTCAAAGTAAGTAGACTTTGTGACACAAACAACAGTAACAAAAATTATAAATCAAATTATTACCACATTAATTAGGTAGGAGCAGGAATTTTTTTTCTTATGAACGTTTATGGCTAGACCTGGATGTCAAATAGACCTTTCCAACTGTGTATCCAGAAAGAAGTAGTGAGAACTCTATTCACTGTACCTCTAACCTCCATGCCTCTCCTGTCATTCTTACTCCAGAAACAAGCTTAGACGGTCTGGCAAAGAATGTAGGTTATGGTAGCATAGTATATTGTTATTTTAGCAGAATTGGCAAATGTTTTGTTACCTATTTATAATATAAAAAATTTACAATAAAAATCAAAACATAAAATAGAAATATAAGTGAATAAACACACCAAAAACTCAGAAAGCATTTAATTTTCTTGTTCCCCATACCCATTCTATACACGAGTTTTGTCATCATAACCTGTCTTTTTTTCCTGAAGTTCCATTGTAGAAAATAAAATTACGAAGTATTAAAAGGCAAAGAATTTATTCTTAGTTACAAAGTTTGCTGTTTACTAGCTAGATTTAACTTACTGTGTTAATATTTCTTAATAATTGCTTATCTCTGGAACATGTAGGTTTTGGTTTTGTCTTTGGGTGAGGGGCATGGAAAAACCAGAAGGTTCATTTTATCCATTCACATAGCAGACACAGGAGGATGAGCTTTCAAAATATCTCTCTATGAGGAAAGGTTCTGAGGGACTGGTTAAGAGCATGAGTAAGAACTCATGTTCATTCATCACTTTCAGGAAGGAAATTAAGGTTGGAAAGATTGACTTGTACCAAAGGTGGGACATCTCTAATGAGTCAGATCCCCCTGCCACTGCAAGGAAAAAGGCAGTCTTGTCCAGGGTGACTTACAGCCTCTGAAAACTCACTGGAGGATCAGCTAAGGAGGGAATTGAAGGATTATCGTTAGAAAACAATTTAGTATGTACACCAGTCGGTGCACACAATGGCCTCCAATATGGCATCTTTCTGTTTAGATATGAGTCATCACAGGACACAAGCTGTAGGTTTTCCACTTGCAAGATGGTATATCTCTGATTAGGTGTTTAATCATCACAGAACATTGGGACAGGTAGTCTTATTTTTTATTTTATGTTGGTTTGCTTAGAAAGTTCTTATACATTGTGTTTCATTCACAGTATTCATTCACATTGTTTCATGCAATCATCATGTTTTACCATATTAATCATTATTGAATTATGCCCATTATTACCCTTTAAAGATCCCCACTGGATCTTTCCCATTTCTTTTACTCTTCTCTCCACCCACCAAATTATGCAACCCTATGATTTCCCGTTTGCTCATCTTTACCCCTCTACTCCCGCCCTCACCCCCTTGGCTGGACCAAGTTATTTCTACAATAATAGTCTTGTTCAGTATTAGTCCCTATGAGACTGAATTAGTTCATTGAGCATAATGCTCTCCAGTCTCTCCCAAGTCATGTAGTAATTTTCAAAACTGTTGCTTCTGAGTGCTGTGTAGTATTCCATCACATGAATGTACCACAATTTCTCAGTCTGATTGTGGTTGGATATTGGTGGGTTTTACATGTTCTTGCAGTGGTGAGTAACACTGCTATGGCCATTGGTATACAAATCTCCTGTTGTGGCTCAGTTCTCATTTTTTTGCGATATATTCCTAGCAGTGGAATTGTTGTTGTTGTTACGTGCCATCCAGTCACCTGAAATATATAGCAACCCTATGTACAGCAGCTCTGAAGCCTGCCGTGTCCTGAGCCAGTCTCACTGATTCTGATACATCAACCTTCATTGTCCCAGTTACTGTATCAATCCATCTCATCCAGTGTCTTCCTTTTCTGTGCTGTCCCTCCACTCCTCTGAGCATGATGTCCTTCTCCAAGGTCTCTCCTGGTCATGTGTCCAAGTATATGAGATGGAATTTCAAAATTAGAGCCTCCAAGGAAAAACTTGGTTTCTGGGTCTTGGTTTCATTGCATGTCTGTGTTCACCTTTTAGAGGAAATGCCAAATTGCCTTCCAGAGTGATTTTACCATTTTACAATCCCACCAGCAATGTATCAGAGTTCCTATCTCTCCACATCCTCTGCAACTTTTATTGTTTGTGTCCTGTTAAAATCTGCTACTGGGGTGAGAGAGTATCTTGTTGTGGTTTTGATTTGCATCTCTCTAACTGCCAGTGATTTTGAACATTTCTTCACATGTCTATTGGCCATCTGAATATCTTCCTTTGTGCAAAAGCTTTTCATATGTTTTTCCCATTTTGTAATTGGCTTATGAGTCTTTTTCTTCTGGAGACCCTGTCTGTAAACTTTTGACTTAGATGTAATTGCCAAATACTTTTTCCCAGTCAGTAGGTTTTCTTTTCGCCCTAGAACAGGTAGTCTTAATAGAGAAGCTTATAATACTGTAATGGTCAAATAGGTAAGAAGTTGTGCTGCTAATACAGTAGCAGGTGGTTTGAATCCAGCAGCTGCTCTGTGGGAGAGGACAGAGAAGCTCCTCCCATGTGATCTTGTGTACAGTCTCTGAAAACTAGCCGGTGTGTCAGCTATGAGTCAGTTCCATTTTGATGGAAATAAGTTAAGAGTTGTATATTTGAATATAGTACAAGTTGATTACATTTTCTTCTTTTTCATTCCAGGAAGTATCTGTATGTTACATCTTCTTTTAAAGGAACACTTAAAAATGAAGTTAAAAAGGCAGAAGAAGATGTAAAGATTGGTATGTAGCTACAATTAGTCTCCGTTACCTTCATCATATTTATCCATTGACTTAACATTAATTGGGTCAGACAGTATAGAAACTCCTTCAATTAGTCAGATACAATTTCTGCTTCCTAACACACTCCCAACTTCATTACATTTTCTTTCATCTTTAGCTTTACTTAATTGCTTTTAATAGTATAACATAGAACACCCAGAATTAGATTAATATTTATGAAAAATCCTTGCCATATTGAAAGCAAGAAGTGTTATTTTGGAAATCAAAGTCTCTTCTTTTGTAGGACAGAATGTTCCACATGTTCTCATGACAAAGATAAAGCCATACTTACCCATGATGCAGGAAAAATACCTTAAATTCAGCTATTTAATGGACTTGAGTTTTCAGTTAGTTAAAAGTTCACTCATTATTTTTAAATTTGTATAAATATATTTAACTCAGTACGTTATCCTCTCTAAGAGGAGCCCAGCACAGCCATCTATAGGAGGAATGCTATAAAAGGAGCATGGAATTTCCTGGTATAATTTGTATGCCATTTGTATCCATGTGTATTGATCATGGTTATATCCATAGAAAATGTTCACTTAAGACTTTCTGAAAGAATTCCACTCTTATGACTCTTTTGCTTCTACTTCCAGCTGAACTTATATTAAAAGAAGCACAAGACAAAGTCAACAGAATGAACAGAACTCCTTCATTATCTCCTACCAAGGTACAATGTTTAGTTGTTGCTATGTGTTCTGAAGTTAGAGCATTCTTAGCTGATCCTTCCATGGATTTTTGTAATCGTTGTTATGTGTCATCAAGTCAACTATGACTCATAGTGACCCTGTGCACAAAAGCTCTGAACCCTGTCCTATCCTGAGGCAATCTCACTGGCTCCAACAAATCTACCCCCTTTACCCTAGTTATTGTGTCAGTCTGTCTCATCTGAGGCCTTTTTCTCCTCTGCTATCCCTCCACCATTCCAAGTATAATGCCCTTCTCCAAGGACTAGTTTATCCTAACAACTTGCCCAAAGTATGTGAGATGGAACTTAAAAAATCCTTGCTTCCAAGGAGAAACTTGGTTTTACCTTCTTTAAGACAGACCTGTTTGTTCTCTTGTCACTCCAAGGTGTGTTTAATTCTCTTTTCCAGCACCATAAATCAAAGGTATCTATTCTTTTCCTGTAATCTTTAATCATTATTCAGCTATCTGATGTATAGCAAAAAAATTTTGAGGAACATGGCTTGGATCAGGAGCACCTTGGTCTCTAGACTGGTATCATTGCACTTCAGCATGCTGGAGAGGTCTCTGATAGCAGATTTTCTGTGAATTGTAAAGGAGAAGACTGACCATCTTTATCCCATAACTCTTTACCCGCTATGCATCCAGAGCTTTCTTATATAGCATTGTTGTTGTTGTTGTTAGGTGCTGTCAAGTATGATTCATAGCAACCCCATGAACAAAAGATCTAACCCCTGTTCTATCCTGTGACAAATAAATAGCAAATGTTGTTGTTTCTTTTTTCTTGGGTGTATTTGTGTTTTACAACCTGCATTCTAAACTTAAAAAGAGGACGCCCAACAAGTGGGGAGAGGGCTGAGCCTGAGATCAAGGATAAGATGGCATCAGTGCACGTCACATCTAATTCTCTAGAAATGAAGGAAAAAGCAATAGGAGAAAAGGAGAAATATACTAAAATACTAGTAGAAAAATTAGGCTATAAAATCTCCTTGAAAATATCTATTCAAATTATAGCTCCTCATAGACCCAAATAAATGGGGGAAGAAAGGAGAGGCCTAATAAGCAATCCTTCTTTACAGTGTTGGGAATTATGCACTATAATTATGAATATTAATAACAAGCTTCCAGCTTACAAAGCTTTTTTCTTATGAGTTCCTCCACACAGTTCATAAACATTCTCTGTAATCCTTACAATATGCCCGTGAGTAAGATAAGTTATAAGGGACTCTTATGATTAGTTATAATGCATGCTACTAAATGAGAAAGAATTTTATTGCAGGATATGAATTGCAAGCTTACAATTTTTTACAAAAACATGCAGTACTAAACTTTCTCTTGTAGTGAATCACGAAACAACATATTTCTTTGTGTATAAAAGACAAACATGAATAAAGAGAATCTCTTCCTTTGAATTTCTTTTGTACTTTGTTTCAGACCTTTGAGTCTTTTCCAAAATTTGCCCTTGAATTTTGAAGTATAAAGATCATGTCTAGTAAAGAGCTCTCATTTCTAATGATAATGAGAGAAGGTGAAGAAATTGAAGAATAGTGAATGATAATGCCCAAAGCAGAATTTATGTAGGGCTTTTTAAAAATTCTTTGATTTTTCTCCTCTTTTTTATGTGAAAAAGAACCTCAGTGTTCTTGAATTTTTAAAAAAAGTTTTAAGTTTCTTTTTCTCCTTTTTAAAATTTCTAAGAATTCAGTTCTCTTCCCTTAAGAAATTGGGGAACACAAGAAACAGACTCTTTAATGGGTCAAGACCCAGCTTTCTTCTTGCCTCCGCCTGGTATCTGTCACTGCCTCTTTACACTGAGTTCACACACAGAAAAGTGGACACGTCTTTGACCAGTTAGTTAGCTTTGTGGCTCTGACACATACTGATTTCTTTAACACAGAAATGAGAGCAAAGCCAAATGACCTCCACTCTTGACCTCTTTAAAAAAAAAAGAAAAAGAAAAAGAAAAAAAAAATCGTTCAGGCAGCAAAATGGTTGCATCTGAAGTGTGAAATTTAACAATAATTTTTCACTTTCCTTTTACTTGAAAGTCAGCGAAAACATCTTTTTGTTTTTAATTGATCCACACTGTTAAAAGTAGGACTGACATAAGGATTGGGGGAAGAATAGGAAAAGGGTGGATAGATAATGAACACAGCTTTGGAGCAGGTGAGGGGATTAGGCATTATATGCATGACAACAATCTGAAACAATCTTGCATTGCAAAGTGTACTGCCTGTGGGGGAAGGGAGGAAGAAGGAGGAAAAGAGGCAATAATGAATGAATTTAAAAAATAACAGAAAAAAAAATCTACTTTTCACACCTTTTGGATGGAGAACATCAAAAGACCCCTAAAAAATTATTATTTGCCTGGCAAGAGAGGTAAAATAGTGAATGAGCTAATGTATTAAATTATAAAGTCAAGTAAGACAGCCAAGTAGGCGTTGGTGAAGAGAAGAGTGTCTACAATTGAAGAAGTAAAGGCAAAGTTCAGGGAGTATTAGAAATTTTGAAAACTTTATATGAAAAGAAACTTTTTCTTTAGCTCCCAATGATCCTTTAATTAAATTTTTCCTAGGAGTTTTAATGACCACGTGTTTTAGCACTTCCTATTGTTGGAGGCAAAAATCAGACCCCAAGCACAATGAATGACAACATCCCAAGCAATCACCTAGTTTTTGTTAAAGCTTTTTGTGCCATTAGAGTGAGTAGAGATTCTCTCTCCAAAAAAAGACAGAATGTGCAACTGATTGTACAAAAAAAGAGAACAGTCAGCTAGGATTTGATTTATTCTCAAATAGTTATTGAGTACATTGAATAGTAGAAACTTGTTTGTCTAGGTGGTCTGTCACTGTTTCCCTTGAAACATTTGTGTATAAGGTAATGAATGTCAACTTGGCTTTTGTTAACTTAATGGCATTGTATTCTCTCTCAGTCAAATGTACTTCAGCACGCATTGCAAAAAGCTTTAGAAGATGTGGAAGCAAAGTGTAAGACTCTTACAGAGAAAAGGAGGTAAATTGACTTCTGTTCACATTGAATGAAAACAAATTCTTGATTGGTGAATGGGCAGATTTTCTTAACTATTAACATTCTATAATGTTACTTGTAATGTGGCCAAACAACATGTTGTTTTGTTGTATTGTCCCACAAAGCATGCCTTTAGATTGGCAGGGCAAGTCCTTACACACTAGACTACCAGAGTTCCTTAACTGGCATGGCTAATGTAAAACACAAAGTATATTTTTACACTTACACATACTGTCTATATATGTTAAAACATCTGAGTGAAATGAAAAATTATTCAGCATCTGATGGTTTGGCCTGGATTAAGATATCAATAATGAAGTGAAATGCCCAGGAGATCACCTGACAGCAGCACTCTTGTGACCTTTGCCTTTCAAACAATAGAGAGCTAATCTCAGTTTCTTTTCTTCTATAGTTCCTTAATATTTAAAACAGAAAATCATGTTTCCAGTAATTGCACTGCTTATGTATAGATAGCAATATAAAAGTATTGTAAGTCTGTGGAATTAAAACAAACTCATAGTTCTAGAAATTGGTTTGTTCTGCAGCTCATATGTTAAACAAGATAAACTGAAAATAATCACTGTTGTTTTAATCATGCCAAGCTTTGAAAACTGTATGTGATAATTTGCAGACACTAGTATTTATGGAGATGTGATAAGTTTTCAGTATTATTTTTGTGAACCACATAATTTCATTGAACTGCACTTTTCTGAAAAACTAAAATTTGAAATGTTATTTCTGTATTTGCTGTTTGTTGTTATTTGCCATCGAGTCGCTTGCAACTCGTAGTGACCCTATGTACAAGAGCTCTAAATGCCGTTCTGTTCTGTGCCAAACTAGCCATCTCAAACCCACTCAATTCCCACCACTTGAGTCATAGAATCGCTCTATCTCATCAAAGGTCTTCCTCTCCTGCGCCGTCCCTCCACTCTGACAAACATGATGTTCCTCTCCAAGGACCAGTCCCTCCTTGCAACATGCCCAAAGGATGTCAGGCGAAGCTTCAGAATCCTTGACTCCAAGGAGCATTCCGGCTTAACCTTCTCCAGGACAAACCTGTTTGTTCTCCAAGCAGTCCATGGTATATTCAACATTCTTCTGCAGCACCACAGCTCAAAGGCATCAATTCTCTTTCTATTATCCCTGTTCACTGTCCAACTCTCTGATACATAGCATGTAATTGTGAAGACTATAGCCCGCATGAGGTGCACCTTAGTCTCCAGCCTGACGTCGTCACACTGCAGTACTCTTGAGAGGTCCATCACAGCTGACTTTCCAGAAGTAAATATTAAGTAGAACACAAAAGAATTTTAATTTTAAAAGCAAAGCCTTGGTTAAAGTCTCCTGATAGGGCAATCTATAGAACTAATTTGCAATCATGATGAAGGTTACCAGTTCTTATTTTATTAATATGGATTCTTATATGTTTTAAGAACAAAATGACAGAAGAATCAATGACTTTGAGTTGTGGTGCTGGAGAAGAGTTTTGAACATACCATGGACTGGCAAGATAGCAAATAGGTTTGTATTGGAGAGGGTGAAATCAAATTTCTCCTTGGAGACTAGGATTTTGAAGCTCTGTCTAGTGTATTTGGTTACATGGCCAAGAGGGACTGGTCCTTGGAGAAGGACATTATGTTCAGAAGGGTAGAGAGGAACAATGCAGGAGAGGAAGACCCTGAATGAGATGAATTGACACAGTAACTGGGGCAATAGAGATAGGTTTGTTGGAGACAGTGAGACTGACTCAAGATAGGGCAGGCTTTAGATCTCTTGTACATAGGATCACTATGAGTTTCAGACAACTCAACGATACATAACAAAAATAACAAGTCATTTAATATTAGTGGTAATGATATTATATCCCCTGACACTCTGTTCTGTTGTCTGTTAACATATTCAGTTTCTAATGAAAGGCTAATATCCAGCCATTGAGCAGAGACTTTTAAGGAGAAGTTTGATCGTTATATATTTAAAGGTAGATATGTTGTTGTTGTTGTT